CCCCAGGACAAATGTAAAACTGAAGAACACAACCAAACCCACAAAGTTGTCCTCTGACCTCCACACCTAGGTCATGGGACATGCCTTCAACACCCCATGAACCTCATGCACACACACAATAAACAATAGTAATGAATAAAAAAACAATAACAAAAGCATTACTGAAGGTACAGCCCTACCAGCTATCAAGTTCTACAACAGATCCATAGCAACAAAACCAGTATGATACTGGCAAAAAAAATTAAACATGTAGGCCACTTGAATAGAAGATCCAGAAATAAATCCACATAGCTATAGTCTCCTGACTTTTTAATTTAATTTTTTACAAAGATATCAAAACATGCTCTGGGCTGTGGTGGCACACACTTTTAGTCTCAGCACTTGGAAGGCAGAGGCAGGTGGATCTCTGTGAGTTTGAGACCAACCTGGTTTACAAGAGCTAGTTCCAGGAGAGCCTCCAAAGCCACAAAGAAAATCTTTCTTGAACCCCCCCCCCCAAAATGATGCAAGTACAACTGGACATCCATATGTAGAACAATGAAACTAGATCATGTTCTCTCTTTCTACACAAAAATCATCTCCAAATGAACCAAAGACCTTAGCGTAAGACTTATCTCTCTCAAACTGTTAGAGGAAAGCACATACAAACACGCACACACTTTTTGTGGAGGCCCCCAATAGTTTAGGAAACAAGACTGTCCATCAACAAACGAAGGCCTCATGAAATTCAAAATCCTCAGTACAACGGGCAGTTAATTAACTCAGAAGACAGTTGAAGAAAATCTTGGCCAGCTGTACACCTGGCAGAAGATTAACATCTAGAATATACACGTAACTAAAAACTGAACAAGAAAACGACCCAATCAATAAATGAGCTAATGAGACAAACTGACAGCTCACAAACGATGAACTACATATGACCAGTAAACATATGAAAAATATCCAGTGTCCTTAGTCACTGGAGAGGTTCAAGTCATTGAGATCCCATCTGCTCCAGCCAGAAAACAAATGCTGCTGGCATGGATGTGGACAAAGGCAAGCCCCTATTCCCTGCAGCTGCGAAGGCAAACTAATCCAACCTCTGCGGAGATCAGTGTGGAGGAACAAATCCAACACATGACCTAGCTGTATCTTTTGTGGAATATTAGTTAAAGATGTGTTGCATTTGTTTATGATGTGGAATGTTTGTTTAATGAAAAGACATGTTGCATTCTTTTACGTTGTATTTGTTTAACTGTGTGAAGCTGTGTTACTTTGCCTGTCTAAAACTCCTGATTGGGCTAATAAAGAGCTGAGCAACCAATAGCAAGGCAGGAGAAAGGCCAGGCAGGCAGAGAGTATAAACAGGAGAAATCTGGGAAGACACGATCAAGGAGTGAGAAAAGAAGGGGCCAGTCACCCAGCCACGCAGCCAGACATGGAATAAGAAGGAAAGAAAGTTATACCGAGATAAAGATAAAAAAGCCCAGAGGCAAAATATAGACAGGATAATATAAATTAAGCAAAATTAAGTCATCCATAAGAAACAGTAAACCTCCGTGTGTTTATTTGGGAGCTGGGTGTCGGGCCCCCCAAAGAATAAAGAGTAAAAACAAAACAAAACAAACAAGCAAACAAAAAAACAGCATATACCTCTCCTGGGTATACACCCAAAGGATTTCAAGTCAGCATACCACAGAGACCTGGCACATCATTTATTGCAGATGATTCATGATATCTAAGGTATAGAACTTACCTAGATACCAACAACTGAAGAACGGGTGAGTGAACTATGGTATGTACCACAACAGATTTATTTTTCATCCATAAAGAAGAATGAAGTTACATTGTTCATAGGCAAATGGATGCAACTGGAAGCAATCATACGTAGTTAAGCCAGTCTCAGTAAAACAAATAATCTGTTTCTCCTCATTTGTAGTTCCTACATTTTCTACAATCACATAAAATCACATGCATATATAAAATGAAAATAGATGTGAAATGTCTAGGGGAATAAAGGGGACTAACAGGAGAGGTAGCAGGGAAGGGAGGAGGTAGGAGGAATGGGGGAAGAAATACTCTCAACATACAATACATAGCTGTAAGAAAATTTTTTTATTAATTTATTTTTTACATTCCAATCCCAGTTCCCTGTCTCTCTTCTCCTTCTGCTCCCCCCACTCCCCTCATCCTCCCATCTGCTCCACAGAGAGGGTAAGGCCTCCCCTAGGAGGTCTACAAAGTATGCCTCATCATTTGGTTGAGGCAGGACCAAGGCACCTCTCCACCCCACACCCCTATGTCTAGGCTGGGCGAGGTATCTCTCCATATAGAATGGGCTCCACTAAGTCAGTTTGTGCATTACAGTTAGATCTTGGACCCACCGCCAGTGACCTCATTTATTGTCCCAGTCACACCATTGTCACCTATATTAAGGGAGTCTAGTTCAGTCTTATGAAGATATTTTTTAAAAGATAAATCTAGTTATTTGGCAGAGAACAGATTGAACCCAGGTGTGAAACACACCTTTAGTCCCAACACTTAGAAGGCAGAGGCAGGCAGATCTCTGAGTTTGAGATCAGCCTGGTCTATATAGAGATTTCCAGGCCAGCCAGGGCTACATAGAGGGATCCCATCTGAGAAAGAGGAAAAGAGGGGGTAGGGAGACTGAGACAGAGACTAGACATGAGTAACCAGGAAGTAAGAGTGGAGAGTGGAAATTGTGATTCAGTGGAGAAGTGACATCAGCTGAGACAAGAAAGTCATGGATAGGAGCTGGGGAGATGACTCAGTGGACAAAAAGCCTTCAGGTATGAGGCTCTGAAGCACACAGTTAAAGGTTGGCAGGCAGGGTGACCTGCCTGTAACAGTTCTCTGGCCGTGGAGGGGGCGTCTTGGTGGGAGGGAAGTCTGGCTTGCTAGACTAACTGACCTGGTGAGTCCTTGGTTTGGTGGGAAACCCTGCCCCAATAAATAAGGTGAGAGCAATAGAGGAAGACACCCAATGCCACAAACTCCGAGCTCTACACACATTTGCACACATATTCCTGTGCGCTTTGTGTGTGTGTGTGTGTGTGTGTGTGTGTGTGTGTGTCCACATATGTGAGAAAACCCATACTCACATGCACACACACACACCACATATACAAATACACACACAAGAATGTATCGGGGGAAGGCAGATCTGAGGTATGATGATGAACTGGGGGAGAAGCACATTTGTTGGTGGATACAGTAAACGCTTACCTGGGGAATTTCTGTTTGAAACCACTTCATCCGCCCCTGCTCCTGGATTGTAGGAGACTCCTTCCCTTCCTGAACCAATACAGTGTTTCTGACAGGTGGCATTGTTTTCTGATCATACACAGACACTGAAAACTTGGTTCAAGTTATTCCACTACAGAACTTGACTTCATTTTCATTTTCATATTCGTTTTTATTGTGGAGTTCAAATCCACTGGGAAAGATCAAAGACTTGGCCTCAATTAAAATTTAGATTAAATGAATTTGTTCCTACTGCTAGCAGAAGGCTATCAGTCTCCGAGTGTAGCAAGCCACAGGTGTGTTCGAGGCTATGGTGCTACCATACTTCACAATGATCCGAGTCAAAAGGCTAAGGATGTAAATGAAGACAAAGACAGCGGCTCATTCTCACAAGGAGAATGGCGTTTATTATTACAAGGGTGGAGCCTTATATACCAAAGGCAGGTATGGTGGCAAACCACCAAGGTCAGAAGCCTATGTCACAGGGCCCTCCAGCAAAGGATGGACCAAAAACAGGAATTAGCATTTAGACAAAGGATGGATGGAAAACAGGAACTTGCATGCAGGCCTTACTGGGAAGAGGGGATGAGAAGTGTTTAGCTAAAAGCTCCTAGTAACAAGCAGTCAGCAGAACCCCCATGGGGGAAGGGTGCAACAAATCCCCCTTTTACATATAATTAAAAAATGAGCATCTGGCTTAGGTTGCCCAGGACGTTAACATCTATTTTACCCATCATTGAGAAGTCTGTCCAGGCCTCACAAACCCTCTGTCTTAGGTTAATAGATGTCCCCCAGGATATACCTGTCATTGATAACTCATTTGTCTTGCTGGCTCAACCAGGCTTGCACTGAGTGGGTATCTGTTGCTGAGGAAAGCATGATCTGCTTTGTATGAAAATGGCGCTGGGATTGAGGCCTTTCCAAAAGGCAAACTAGGGTTTTTTTTGTTTTGTTTTGTTTTTGTTTTTTGTTTTTTACGAGACAGGGTTTCTCTGTGTTGTTTCGGAGGCTATCGGTCCAGCCCAGCCTCGAACTCACAGAGATCTGCCTGCCTCTGCCTCCCAAGTGCTGGGATTAAAGGCGTGCGCCACCACCGCCCGGCTAAGCCAAACTAGGGTTAAAGACTGTGTTGCCCAGGGTCATAATCTCGAGGGCTAGCGACCCACTCCGTTTCTTAAGTAATAGACCTGTCTGTTGCAGTCCCGTTAAGAGGGAGTCTCCCAAAAGGGAGGCACCCTGGTCTCAGAATAGCCAATTAAGTCCATTTGTTAATTAAGATTTAAAGTGCCCAATTATAATTAATATAAATTTGGGAACTTAAGGTAGAGGCATCCTCCCCTGGGGGTTTATCCAGCATGTCTTCCGTGGCAACTGGCTAAGAGATAGGGAAGCCAAAAACTGTAGCCGCCGTGATGTCAAAGTCTCTCCCGTGTCATGTAAGGATGAGTTGGTTCTCTCCTGAGTGTTCCACTGGAATAGGCATGACACCTGGAACATGGACCACCAAGGCTGATCAACAGCTTCTCAAGCGGCATTCCTGGAGGACATATTTAAACATTTCTCCCTAGGGAGTGTTATTGCATGTAGCAAATGTCCAAGCAGGCAAGTCCATCCTGAGGGCTGCCTTTCCTAGGCTATGGTTGAGGCTGATTATAGCTGGATACACCTGACACTGAAGACCTGCCAGCATCAGAACAGGCAGGTTCCTCATTAAAGCCTAATGAGTCTATAGACGGCGGATGAGTATCAGCAGGAACAGAGCACACACAACGCTCCGGAACCCAAACTGGGTACTAACCATCCTGTGGGAAAACACAAAGAGACCCCCGCGTCCATACCAAAACTGGATCTGGTCCTTTCCAAAGACCCGAGATTAGGTCTTTCCATTTAACTAGAGGTTTTTGCTGTACATCAGACAGCCAATGGTGATCTACTGCGGAGTTGCCAGAAGCATCCACAATTTAAAAATTTAAGATATAGAGGATAAATGATAGAGTAGAGTGAGGGGAGCCAAGGTGGTCCCCCAAACCCCCCTTCTTCACTTTAGCTAAATAGGCTTTTAGAGTGTGAGGAGCACGTTCCACAATAGCCTGTCCTTGGAGTTTGTAATGTTGAGCTAAAAGCTCCTAGTAACAAGCGGTCAACAGAAACCCATGAGGGAAGGGTGCAACATTCGAGTCAAACAGCATGCCTACCAAAATGGGCTAAAGGAATATCTTGTTTACTTATCTGTTGTTTGTTTTGTTTTGTTTTTTCAAGACAGGGTTTCTCTGTGTAGCCTTTGTCATCCTGGAACTCTCTCTGTATTGATGGGGGGAGGTCCTTCTGTATGCTGTGAATATATGTTTCTCTTATTGGCTGTCTAATGGACAGGCAGGAAGTATAGGTGGGGCTACCAGACTAGAAGAATGTTGGGAAGAGAATTGTAGAGAGTGAGTTAAAGGGGATACGCCATGTATCTGCCGTCGAAGGATCAACATGCCAGAGTATTACGGGTAAGCAACAGCCTGTGGCAATACATAGTTTAATAGAAATGGGTTAAAAATTAAGAGAGAGCTAGCCAATAGAAGCCTGAGCTATCAGCCAATCAGTTTATAATTAATATAAGCCTCTGTCTGTTTGTTTGGGACTAAATGGCTTTGGAACCAGGTGGGTCAGAAAACTCCATCTACACTATATATAGGACTGGTCTGAAACTCACAGAGATTCTCCTGCTTCTGAGTGTGCGCCACCACTGCCTGGCTTAAAGAAAGGGTTTATAAAGGTGGATAGAAATCTATCAAAGGTGTACTTTATAGCTATCTGTGGAATTCATAGCTGGGAAAAAAATGTTTTCCTTCGGTCAGTTGTTTCTCTTTCCCTTAGTATAGTACTAAAAATATCACTTCATTGCAGTCCCACAGCAATAAACAAGTTTACAAAAGCAGGAAGCAAGTGATTAAGTACTTCACATCAAGAAAACCACCATCCTATTCTTACCTCACTTGCAGGCCACTAGGATCTCACAGACATTCCAGGGCAAATGTGATACTCAGTACCATATTAAGTTTTTTTACACAGAAAGTTATGTGTAAAGCATTATGGATGCCTGAGCACTTGGGGGAAGTGTCACTAATAGGCTAGGATAGAGCAGGCAATAACACAGTGACACCAGGTTAGGCTGGCTGTCACACCCCCACATCTCTCTGCTACTTGAATTCTCTATACAAGGATTCCCAAGAATCTTCCATTTGACCTCCACATCTAGGCATCTAAATCTAATTTGGTCTCTTAAAACCTTTTAGTTCCCTTCCTGGGGTCTCATATTGGGGTCCCTTTGCTCTTCTAACTGTTATTTCATTCCCTTTTGTGGATCCCTGGCATAGGGGTTTGAAGAGGAATGGTCTCATATACTTCAATGTTTGGTCATTAGAGAGTAACACTCCTTGAGAGCGATTAGGGGGTGTGACTTTGTTGGAGTAGGTGTGGCCTTGTTGGAGGAAGTGTGTCATTGGGGTGAGCTTTGAGGTGTCCTTCTGTCTGCTGAATCCGATGTAGAACTCTCAGCTCCTTCTCTAGCACCATGAAGCAATTTGGTTTAACTAGAGAGACTGCTTGTCAAAATTGTCAAACAATAAGGTGTGCCCACAATATTTATCTGTAACTAATTTAAGAGTGAACCCTAGAAGCCTACTTCCTAATCATTTGTGGCAAATGGATGTTACTCATGCTACAGAATTTGACAAGCTTGAATAGGTACACATGGCAGTTGATAGGCATTCAGGTTTTTTGATGGCCACTGTACAAACTAAAAAAGTTACCACACTTGTTATAAGTCACTGTTTAAAATGTCTTGCTTACATGGGAGTTCCAAAAGTGATAAAGAACAGACAATAGGTCTAGATATTCTAATAAGTCAGTCAGCTATTTTGTACTCAATACAAAAATTGATCACAACAGGTATTCCTTATAATCCTCAAGGAATTGTGGAGTGTGCTCATAGCTCCTTGAAAATACAACTTCTAAACTTCTATACATGTGGAAATGGAATGACTTATTCCATGTTGCCTACAAATTCGACAGGATTATGTGTATTAGTCACCCTTCTCCCAGATGTAGAGTTTATTCCAGGAAGTGAGCCCATAGATTATCTTATTCCTAGACATAAGAGAACCACCTAATTCACCCCTGTTAGTGGGACTTAGAGTATCAGGGGCCTTAGCCACCAGCTCCACAGGCATGGGAGTAGCCTTTGTTTCCACATCATGCACTCTTCATTTTAAAATTTTTAAATGTAGATGCCAGTGAGCAATCTACTGCAGACAGATTCTGGCATGATGGAACTTGAGTGACTTTTGCTCAAGTCAGATGAAAAACATCCATACACTAGACAGTGGAAAAGACTCAATTTGGGGTGGAGGGAATGTTTGTGTTTTCTTACAGGAAAAGAACAAAGCTTGGTGGCTGCCTAAACATTTGGTGAGATAAATGGAGTAGAAAAAAAAAAAAAAAACAACCCAGGCCTGAAACCATGGAAAGCTGCCCAAGCCAGTTCCAGTGAAACATGCTAAACTAGTGTTCCTGACTCTGCATAGCCCCCTCCCCCACCCAGTTTTCAAATTCCTTCAACCCATTCCCACCTCTGCAACCTCACTTGGCTTCCCTGATAACTAACTCCTCTTATCTGATCCCTGAGAACGAGAACAGTGGGTTGTCAGGATGGCCTCCTAAATTCTGCCCCTATATTTTACATTCTAGTTAAATTAGTTCCCTGCCTTAACTATTATTCTAAACAAGATGTGCTTTTGGGGTTGGGAGCCCTGGGAGAAGGCACTAGGATTTCATTCCTTGTGCTCTCAAACAAGGAGGAATCTGCGCAGCCCTTAAAGAGGAATGCTGCTTCTGCACAGATCACGGGAGTGACAATAGACAGTATGGCCAAGGTCATAGTTGTAAGGCTAGAAAAAAGAAGGAAACAGTGAGAACAGGTACTAGGCTGGTAGATTGTTGGTTATGTCTAACTTTAGGAGCCTCCTGGCCATTGGCCATTCCACCCCTACAAAATTTCTCTGTCAAAGAGCTACCACCTCCGACTAGTTGTTCTCTTGGTATCCCCTTTAAGATTCAACCCACTGGGTTTAATTTTTCCTCCTGCTTTTACAAACATTTTCAAAATAATAGTTTTGATGTAGATATAGGGGAAGCATCATTCATGTCCTGTTCTTCAGTGACTAAAGTCACCACGGCTCTTTGTCCAGGGTCTGGGCAAATTTTTGCTTGTGGAAATGGAATGGCCTGCTCCATCCTGCCTGCCAACTGGACAGGACTATGAGTCCTTGCCACTGTCCTTCCTGATGTAGACTTAGTTCCAGGAGATGAGCCTCTTCTCATACCCAGCTTTGATTATTTTGTTCCCAGACATAAAAGAGAAATTCAATTTATTCCCCATCTTATTGGGCTTGGGGTAACTGGAGCCCTGGCCACAGGTGCCTCTGGACTCAGAACTGCCCTCAGTACATAGTCAAAGCTCTCCCAACAGCTTGGTGACGATGTAAACACAATTTATAAGTCAGTACAAGACCTTCAGGATCAGGTCAAGTCCCTGGCTGAGGTGGTCCTACAAAATAGGAGAGGCCTAGACTTATTTATAGCAGACAAGGGAGGCATCTGTTTGACTTTACAGGAGAAATGCTGCTTTTACGTCAACAAATCAAGCATTGTTCGAGACTGAATCAAGAAACACCAGGAGGAACTTGAGCAACGTCACAGAGAATTATCCGACCGACCCACTTGGAGTGCCTGGAGCAGATTTCTACCCTATCTCCTCCCCTTGCTTGGACCTATGCTTGGCTTACTAATCCATCCTCCTGTCACTAGGACCTTTTCTCTTTAACAAACTGATGGCTTTCGTTAAAAACCAGATTGATGCTGTGATAGCACAGCGTATCCAGGTACACTATCGCTGTCTCGATATGACTGATATGGGATGCAATTGTGATGAACCTTAGTCATATCTAGCCTGCAGAATGGCTATAAAACCACCTTTGATTCATCACCTCCTTGGTAAGCTGGGCTGGTTAGCCAGTGACGGGCAACTGGGAGAGGACAGAGGGTGTTTCATCTCAATAGCCCCCTAAGACAGGAATGTTCATCATACGATGTCATCTTCTATGACAGGGAGAGGCTTCATGAGACCCTCTGACACAGGCACAGCCCCCTAAAGGATATCGCCACCCATGGTCTTTTTATTTCGTACCTGTAAGGGCCCTAATATAAGGGCGACATCTTTAAAAGCCATCTTAATACTCCCTAAGATCCTAATGACTAACACTTACTGCCTATTCCTCTACCAACTCTCAGACCTACAGTCCAGACCCCTCTCCTTCATTAATAAAAAGTAAGGGAGGAGACGTTGAGGACCAGGTCACTATTTCTCTTTCTCGCCCTAAGGCACTTCCCAAAACTCAGTCACCTTCCTGCAGATGGCCTGGCGCCATAGAGATGACCCATCGCTTAACAAAGCTTAGTTAACACCCACACTCCCTGGTGAGAGCTCCTGCTCATCACATATCAAATGCTCCCTGCTCCTAACAGCCCTGCCTCACTTCTCAGCTCGTACAAAACCCTCAATAAATGCAGCTCGATCAGAAAGTCTGTCTTGCTGTCCGTCCTTTGTATCTCTTGTTCCACCATTCCAGGTTCCTGTGGGCTCGATCCCCATTGTGCCCTGCTGGCCCGGGCATCTGCCTGCATGCCACCATGGTCCCGGCCCTGATGGTAAAGAGCTAAAACTCTGAAACTGTGAGACAGCCACAATTAAATGTTTTCCTTTACAAGAGCTGCTGTGGTATGATGTCTCTTCACAGCAATAGACACCCGGCTTGGAGGAATTTCAGAGACTGGGGCACCTTGTTCTGGCCCTAAGGGCAGCCCCACAGAAGTCTTGCTGTCTTACTTCATTTTCTCTTTTTGCTGCTTAAGTTAGCTGCCTGAGCAGGAGCCAGCAGGAGGTGGGCCTCCCTTCCTGGTCTAGGGGCAGCTCTCACTGCTTTTTCAATAGGAAGGGAAATCTTAGCTCCTCCTGGAGGCTGCTTACTCACCCCAATTTCCCAACAGCCTGACAATATCCATCAGGGACAGTTTGGAAGGGTGGAAAGGGATTTGTTGGGATCATTTTTGGGAATGACAAAACAGGTTCTCAGCTATAAATAAGCTTAAGGAGGTGTCTAGCCCTCTTTTAGAACACTGGTTGTATAACACAGTTTTCCTAGGAACTTGGTGCTCTTTGCCAATTCTGTGGCCACAAGAAACTTTCCACTCAGCAGCCTACTGGGTGTGTGGCCTGTACAGACCAAGGCAGGAAAAGCTCAGGAGTGGGCCACTTGGGTTCTGTCTTGGGCATTTTGAAATGAGTATTAGAAGCTAGTAGGGGAGTGAGTGTGGACCACAGTGCTGCCAGTTCACCCCAGGACTCCTCAGAGTAGATAGCAAAGAGGAGGTTACTAGGGCATAAAACAGATAGAAAGGCAGGGGTGAGGGTTGCATCAGGCCCAGGCACGCCCACATTCAAAGGTAAGGAGAGGAGGAGGCGCCAGCAGTGAAGGCTGAAGAGGAGCCGGCTCCTGTCAGAGCAAAGGCCCTGATCTTGAGGGCAGGTGGGCTGACCCCTGACTAGTGACTATGTCAAGGACAGACCTTTGGTACGGGACGAGAGTGTTTCCCACAGTACGGACTGACAGAGTTTGAAGAGCAAATGAAGGGGATGAAGTGGACAGACAGTGCGCACAAATAAGTTCTGAATTTTGCTTTAAGGCAAAGAATGAAAACTGTAGCCATAGCTAGAAGGGAATTTGGGAGAAAGAAGTGTCAGTTCTTCCTTAAGATGGAGTAGATGGTACACACTTCTGTGTGAAAATATCTCCTCTGTGCTAGAGGACAGAAAAAAATTGAGGAAAATTGTAGTTATAACTAAAACAAGTTAAAATTAAAGTTGCGCCGGGCGGTGGTGGCGCACGCCTTTAATCCCAGCACTCGGGAGGCAGAGGCAGGCGGATCTCTGTGAGTTCGAGGCCGGGCTGGACCGATAGCCTCCAAAACAATACAGAGAAACCCTGTCTCGTAAAAACCAAAAAAAACATAAATAAATAAAAATAAAGTTGCAACCACGACTTCCACACAACGAAATTCAAAGGCACTGCAACATGTAGGTTGCGAGGGATGGAAATTTCATCCAAACCAGTTGAACTTGAACAAAGGTGAAGAAATCCCCCCCAAGGAAAGAGTTCATTATATAGACACAAACATAGGTCTTACCTCAAAAGGGAGTAAGAAATAGTTTATTCTGGTGCTAAGTGAATATGATCCTGGAACATGGACTCAGGTTGTCCCAACTAACATGTTCTTATGTGGGAACAGTTTCGTGAAGCTTCTATTGTGAACATAATTGTAAATCAGAGCATTTTTTCCAAATACCCTAGTGTGAGCACTAGGTGGGTGAGTTACAGTGAAGCAGGGAAAAGTTCTGCTGTAGGTCTCAAGTGTTCTCTTTGGGGTCTGTTCATATACTCCTAAAGGATTTAGTGGGTAGTCACTGGGATGTTAGGCTGGTTAGGATCCAGAGGTGGACAATGAATGCCTATTATTAATGGGTTAACGAAGCAGCCTGGGATGGTTTGGCTGTACAGTTGCAACATCTACTCCCCACAGACAGGAAGGCTAAACCAATGAGCCGTGGAATCTTTAACTTAGGTGTAATTTATTTATTTTTTAATCTAAGAACTTCAGGTTACAGTAAAAAGAGTCAGTTGTAAGAGTAGAAGATGGGCCATAGAACTGAGAGAAAAGTCTGGGGGGCCAGAGACATCTCTGCAGCCCAGTGTCTCCCTTCACTTGACTATCATCTGTTTCTGCTTTTTACGTGGCGCCCTTACTCTTTTAGAGCTAGAATGTGCCTTCTTTCCTTCCTCTCTCACTTTCTTCTTTCTCCCATCTCCCTCCCTCCTTTCTTTCCTTTCCTTCTTCTGTCTTGCCTTTCTTTTGTGGGGGTGGTACGAGACAGGGTCTCTCTGTGTAGCCCTGACTGCACTGGAACTCTCTCTGTAGTCCAGGCTGGCCTCAAACTCACAGAGATCCACCTGCCTCTGTCTCCCAAGTGCTGGATTAAAAGTATGTGCCACCACTACCCGGCCTTCTTCTTGTCTTAAGAAAAGGATCTCAACTTCGAACCTTGAACTGATCCTCCTTCTCTAGTGCTGAGGTTACAGCCACCACATCAGACTGGGATGTACCTTTATTAGGGGACCTCTCAGCTACAAACGACTTCCAGTCTATCCTTCCCAAAGACAAGAGAAACTTTCCCCAACACCGGCAAGTTCAGAATTAGGTATCTGTCTCTGAACTTCAACTAGGTTTGTGGGGAGTAAGGATTCTTTGAATGGCCAGCCAGATCCATGCATCCACGCATCTGTTCTTCCTATACTTATCATTTGCTTTGCTTTAATTTATTGTTGTTGTGGTTGGTAGTGGTGTGTGTGTGTGTGTGTGTGTGTGTGTGTGTGTGTGTGTTGGGGTTCAAACCTAGGGCGTTATGCATGATATGTGTGTTTGAACACACATCCCTTGCTGCAGTCATGGAGGTCAGAAGACAATTCTGTGCAGCTGGGTCTTTCTATCCACTCTTACACGGGTTCTGAAGATCAAGCCAGATCACCAGGTTTATGCAGTGAGCGCCTTTACCCACTGAGCCACCTTGCTGGCCCTCTTTTGTTTTGTTTTGAAATAGAATCTCTACATGTAATCCAAGTTGGTTTTATCCTCTATTCTCCTGGGTGCTGGAATATGGGATACCTGGTCACATGTCCTTTTTTTTTTTTTTTTGATTTTCAAGACAGGGTTTCTCTGTGGCTTTGGAGGCTGTCCTGGAACTAGTTCTTGTCAACCAGGCTGGCCTCGAACTCACAGAGATCCGCCTGCCTCTGCCTCCCGAGTGCTGGGATTAAAGGCATGCGCCACCAATGCCCGGCTCACATGTCCTTTTAAAAATAGCTGTGTTCAACTTTTCAACATTATGACACGACATTGTCATCTACAAAGTTCATGCTCAAGAACTGCACAATGGAGTTACAAAAAAAAAAAACAACCCTCTTTTGCAAGCTTGTGATTTTGTGTTGGCGGTGTTGGTAGGCCTTGCTCTGTGTGACTCCAGATTGTGCAAACAGGAGCCATTCTTCCTAAGTTGCCTACACTTTTTTTCTGTCATTTCTTTTCTCCTCCTTGTAAATTGTATTTCATCTTTCTTATTAGAATCTTCTCTCTGATGTATGTGAGTAATTTTCCAACAGGAAAACACCTCCAGGTTAGAGTTCAATTCCTGACAGAAAGTGAAAGAGAAAGCCGAATTTATCAGTTAACAGGGAATTGGTCTTAGAACCCTGGGTATTCTAGAGAGGTTTTTGTTGATTTGTGGGTCCCCTATAGTGTGGATCATTCCAGAGATCCACAGCTGACTTTCTGTATGTGGGAGGCTGCTGTTTGACAATTATATTAGTAGTGTACATTGATCTTGAAAGTCAAAGGATTTCACTGTGACCTTTTCATACATGCAAATATGAAATGTATCATATTCACCCATGTGAACAACTTGGGGAATGATTTACCTTGCTTATGGTTTCAAAGCCTTGCTTCTGGCTTTGTTACTTTGAGCTTGAGTAAGACTGAATATCACAGTAGCCCTTTCTTACCCGGGCTTCTGTCGCACCTGCTGTGCGGCCTGCATCCGAGAATGTAGCGAGGTGGTCGGGATAGATGACACAGAGACCGGTCGGTTGCTTTAAGAAAACTTTATCTTCCCAAGTCAGCTTAGGAGAGAGCTCTCAGAAGAAATCTCAGGAGAAGTCTCCCCAAGAAAAAGGGCTTCCCTTTTTAAGGACTTTTGCCATCCATTTACATACCATTCTTTCCACTTCTCACCCTCCTGGCTGGTGGTTTAATCTCCGGCCCCAGAATCGGGGAGACACCACAGGGGGCAGGAAGAGGCATCTAGCCATAGGAGGTGTGGAAGGAATGGTATTTCAGTGAGCCAGCCCTTATCTGAGCCCTATCAAGCTTTAAAGCACTGAATTGTTTTCAGTAAACATTACATAGATGCCTGCTCCCAGGCCGAAGGGGAAGTGGGTTTCTGCTCAAGGTCTGGTGTCCCCACAATTCACCCCTTTTTATTTTTAAATGAGGCACTCCTGTCTTAGGTCAAGTAGGGTCACCCTCCCTGGCCTGTCTTTGGGGGACCTTGAACCCCTGTTAGGTGGGAGTGGGTCTTTCCCACAAGTTGCCCGTCATTGAAGTAGCCCCACCCTTAAAATCATTTGTAATAAGGCTTTATGGCTATCGGGATTGCCATGGGCTAAGGCACTTTGAACTCAGCATGAAGCCAGAGCGCCTACTGCCACTGTTACCATTCCTAGGACCCCCACTGACATAGCGCCTCTCTGTCACCTGCCCATCCCCCGATCTGGGCCTTAGCATTCTACCACCAGCCTTTCTTTGCTACAAGGGTGATTTATAGTTACAATTTGACGGTCAAAACAGTGATAAAGTTTACAATTATTTTAAGATCTATTTAGGAAAGCATTAGAGAGTGCACTTGCACAGATACATTAGGTACAATCATTGATGTTACACATGTAGCATTATAAAAAATATGAACAAGAGGCTTGTTGCACTATTTACAGAGTACCAATTTGTTCCTGTGGTGATGTAGTCTGTCGATTTAATGTCAGTAGTATCAGCCGAACATGCAACCTGAGTCAAAGTCTTTTTGTCGCACCAGGACAAACCATATTTCTCCAGAAAAACACATTGTGATTCCAAAAACAGGAACTACCGAGTCTGATATTTCAGGTGACCATGTCCTGTTCAAATACTGAAAAAAGGCTTTTGCCATTCATCACAGTCCATACCAATGTCTAAATGTTAAATGGGTCCTTTTTCCCCCAAAGGGAAAAGCTGGCAAAATGAATTCTGTTGTTTTAAGGTGTATCAAAGGCTAGCTGCTAATCTTCTAGTTTTGTTGGCTTTGGGATGAAAACTCACGGGTCCAGGAGGTTGATGTAGCAAGCCTGATGAGAAACTGGAAATCTCGAACTGACTGTTTTATTTCTTTCTCGGGCTGTAGATTTGATGACATCAAGGGTCAGGAACACTGATTTAGGAGATCTCGAACTGGCTTGAGCAGGCTCCCACGGTCTCAGGTCCAGTTTTTTCTGCTCCATGCATCTCACCAGATGTTGTGACCGCTACTGAAGCTTTATTCTTTTCCTGTAAGAAAACACAAACATGCCCTCGACCCCAAATTAGGGTCTTCTCTACTGTCTAGTGTATGGATGTTTCCATTTGGCCTGAGTAATAGTTATTTAACTTTCATTATGTCAGAATCTGTCTGAAGCAGATTCCTCACTGGCATTTATATTTTATAAATATTTAAATGAGGAGTGGATTATTTAATGAATCATGTGGAGACTGGGGACATTACTCCCTTTTATTTTTAAATTTTGTTTGAACTGTTGAAGTTGGACCATAACAGTAGAAGGATTTGTCTACCCTCCTTAGTCAACTATCTAGGTGAATTGGGATCACTATTTAAAGTATTAGTAGATGTCCTTTAAAAGGGACATAACCATTAAGTACCTTTGAGAATCATTTAAGGATTGTAAACTATACTATGTCCCAAATAGTCCTTTTTTTTTTTTTTCTAACCTGTAGCTCTCACTAGCTGACAAGGCCTCATTTGCATCTGAGCTGACAAGGCCTAATTTGCATCTACACAGACACCTTTGGGGGTGGGGGCCTGCCAAAGCAGCAGGACAGTTCCCTGAAAAAACCTCTCTTTCTCTCTCTCTCTCTGACTGGCTCTGAGGGCTTAACTTGAATTTTTTTGTTAAAATATTAACTGACTGACTGGATGTTTCTTTTGGCTATATCTAAATCGATTTAGGTAGTTTTTAACTGTTTGAAGGGATTTAAGTATCCCTTTAATCATATCCAAGGCAATTAGAACAGTTGCTTTTGTCAACATTCACGCATTTACATTTCACACCTTATACATACTGACGTGGCCACGTCCATACACACAGACCATGCATACATATCTCTCCTTGCCTAGGTTATGATTAGTTTGTTGAACTGAAACTTCTTTAACAGAACAACTCCAGTCAATCTTTGAATTAAAACAAAAGGTTGAAAAAGTCCTGTATGTCCCTCGTCATTTCTTCATTAGAGAAGTTTTGAGCTACACTCAGGGGCTACAGCCATACCCACTCCTTGTAATTCTGTAGATGCAAAGTGGAAAGGCCAGGCTTTTGCCAAAAGTTTTTAGAGATGACTCACAAAATTCAATAACCTACCCTATATAAATGTAACCAAACATTTTTATTTTATATGCCTTTGTCTTTTTCTTTACTGAATACTAATACCTTATTTATTAACTGTTACCAGTTTTTTAAATTTACCCATCTTTAATCTATCCTCCCATTGAGGATGATCCTCCAAACCACCCTCTAACTGAGGGCAACTTTTCATCTTAGGTTCCCTTTCTTTTTTGACCTTTGTTAGGTGAGGGCCTAGACATTTAATCCAATCCAACTTTTAACTGAGGGTTTAATCATGGAGATATTAAATATTTTTAATAAAGCAGAGATTCCCCTTTTAGGAGGGGGAAACTCAGACTCTCGTGTTGGCTAACTGGCATCAAAACGGTGGGAGGGGTTTTCCTCACCAGTGTCCATACTTCCCTTACCTGAGTTTGGCAATGTTTGGATCATTTTTATCATGGCGAGCATTCCTAGTGTCGGGAGCAGAGTCGGGGTCAACATGCCTGATGCACCGTTCGGGGACCCAAATAGGCTTCTCACTTCCTGGAGGGAAAACACAAACAGCCCCTCGGACCCTAGCTAGTAGGGGAGTGGGTGGCTGCCATTTTCCTGTAATCAAATCCTTCCATCTGACCCATCCCAAAGACTGGGAGGATTTGTTCCAATGTCTCTCCATGGCAGACAAATTATTACTGTCTATGGTCAAAAAATTTAAAATATAAAGTATGGTGGATAACTGAATATTGGGGGAGGTAACATACTCCCCCTTTTTTATTTTCTTAAAATACTGTTTGAGAGTGGCATGGGTGCACTCCACAATGGCCTGTCCGATGGGGTTGTGAGGAATACCAAAAGAATGGACAATGTGATGTTCCCTGCAAAAGGCAGCAAAGCGATTGCTGGCATAGGCAAGGCCATTGTCCGTTTTTAGGGCATCTGGAACACCCATGTAGGCAAAGGCCTGCAGGCAATGAGAAATAACATCTTTAATCTTCTCTCCTGAGTGGAGAGAGGCAAAAATCAGTTTAGAATACGTATCCACCGAGACATGCATGTATTTTAATTTCCCTGCCTGTGGCAGGTGAGTGACATCCATTTGCCAGAGATGGTTGGCCCTGAGGCCCCGGGGATTTACCCCCTCATTGGGAGAATTATGATAAGGGGCACAATCAGGGCACTGAGAGGTAATCTGTGTAGCTATGGATAAGGGGCACCCAGTGTGAAATTTAATGGAGTGGGCATTTAGATGATACCGCTCATGGAGCTGGTGGGCCAGCTGCTCCTGAGTAAATAAGACCCTAGGGCGGGTCAAGGAGTCAGCAATTTCATTGCCCTGGGCAAGGGGTCCTGGAAGGTTAGTATGTGCACGAATAAATCCCACATAAGCAGGGTGGATGCGCTGCCAAATAAGATGTTGGAGCTGAACTAATAAGGAACGAACCTGGGAGGTTGGAAGAACATATGGAGAAGTTTCTAAAGGTCTAACAATGTTGGCAACATAAACACTATCAGTATATAAATTAAAGGGCTCTCCCTCAAACATTTGGAAAGCCATCAAGCATGCAAACAACTCGGCGGCTTGTGCTGACATCTGCCCTATGGGTACCCTCTTCTGCACCTGAGAAGAAACCACCACCGCGAAACCCTTGGAGGAGCCGTCTGTAAAGACTGAGCGAGCTCCAACTAGAGGGTTCTCCTTTAAAATCTTGGGAAAGATCACAGGGTGTTGTTTGAAAAAAGACATCAAGGGGCTGTTGGGATATTGGTTATCAAACTGTGCGCCTGTAGATGTAATAAACAGGGTCCACCCATCATGGAAGATCTGTAGATGTTCCACCTCCTCCTTACCATAAGGAAGGATAATTTTATCAGGACTCTTTCCAAAGGTTTGAATGCTAAACTTGTGCGCCTTCCACAACAATTGTAAAATGAGATCATAGTACGGGGTCACTACCTTCTTAGGGGAGGCTGACAAATGTACCCAATAAATAGGACCAGTCTGCCAAAACACGGCAGTGGGCGAAAAGCTAGATGAAAGTACAACCAGAACAAGGGGCTGCCCATAATCTATACGCCGAAGGTGGGCTTGCTCTATACTTCTTAACAACAATTGTAGGGCTTCCCTGGCCTCTGGGGTAATCTGTCTAGGGGAAGTTGGAGCAGGATCCCCAGGAAGAATATCATAAAGCGCTTTAAGAGCCCCTGTTTTAATAGAAAGAGAAGGGCGAAACCATTGCACCTCTCCCAAAAATCTCTGCCAATCATGAAGTGTTTTTAAATTTGAACAATCGATCTGGAGTCTTTGTGGCCGGAGGCCAGTTTGTTGAATTTGATGACCCAAATAAGTATAAGGGGGTCTCTTTTGGATCTTTTCAGGAGCCAAAATAAATCCTCGGGCCTCCAGAAGCTCCTGTAGCTCTGCAAAGGCTATGTAACATTGTCTTTCTTCGGCCGCGGCCAAAAGAATATCATCCATGTAGTGGATAATGTAAAGGTCAGGGAACTTACGTCTGAGGGGATCTAAACAGGCAGCTACATAAATCTGGCATATAGTTGGACTATTAGCCATCCCTTGGGGAGCACCACCCATTGGAAGCGAAGGGCAGGCTCCCTAAAGTTAATCGAAGGAAGGCTAAATGCAAACCGAGGACTATCTTGAGATGCAAGGGAATACAAAAGAAGCAATCCTTCAAATCAATGACAATCAAATGCCAGTCTCTAGGAATGGCCACAGGCACGGGCAAGCCAGGCTGCAGAGCCCCCATAGGCTGCATGGTCGCATTCACAGCCCTCAAGTCTTGTAGTAACCTCCATTTCCCTGAAGATTTTTTTATTACAAATATAGGGGTATTCCAAGGGGACGTGGAAGGAACCAAATGACCTGCCTCCAATTGTTCTTGAACTAGCTGGTGAGCCGCCCTTAGTTTCTCCGCTGGTAAGGGCCACTGTTCCACCCATACCGGATCATCTGATAGCCATGTGATGGGTATGGGGGCTGGCGGCGCAACAGTGACCCTCATCAAAAATGGCCAAAACCCTTCCTATCCCCTGGGGCCCTGGTCTCCAAAGGGAGGGATGCCACAGGGCAAACCTCTCCCTGTTCTAGTTTACCTAGTTCCCTCCCCGGGCTCCAGCCCCTCCCTTGTGTCATCTGGGGGCCCCTGCTTTTGGACTTTGGTGCCTGGGTGGTGAGGACCACTCCCATTTCTTGCATGAGGTCCCGTCCCCAGAGGTTAATAGGGAGGCCAGGCAAAACATATGGCTGGAAAAGCCCTGTGTGGCCCTCAGAGTCTTGCCACTTTAGGATTCTGAGGCTTTTTGGGGCACCGCCTGTCCTATTCCCTGGAGGATCACTGTCCCTTCCTCTTTCGGCCAAGCGGGGGGCCAGAATTTATCTGAGAGGACAGAGAAATCTGCCCCAGAATCTAAAACGCCCCTAAAGAACTTGCCTTCTATCTTTAATGTAAGCTGGGGGCGGTTCTCCATAGTGGCTACCCAAAATGCTGCTGGGCCGGTACTTCCAAAACCTTGGTTGCCCCTTTTCTCTTTAATTTTTCTAGCCTCACAAGGAGCTGTAGGGAGAAGGAGTAACTGAGCAATCCGTTCTCCTGCAGGGATGGCAACAACCCCACTGCCCACTGATGTCATTATTTTAATCTCCCCCTCACTATCCTGGTCTATAACACCAGGGTGTACCTGGATGCCTCGAAGAATAGTACTGGACCGTCCCAAGAGTAGTCCGACCGTGCCTGGGGGCAATGGCCCATGCACCCCAGTAGGGAGGGCCTGGATCCCCATTTCCGGTGTTAGGATTGCCCGGGCGGAGGGAGCGAGGTCCAATCCTGCACTCCCTGAGGTGGCTCTAAGGAGGTCTGAGATATGAAGGGGTTGCTCTGGGGGAGAAAATAAGTCCTGCCACTGCCCAGAGCAGGGGTCATTGCCCCGTACACATTGGTTTTGGGGCCCTGGGGCGGGGCCCTCCTCCCGTTTCCCTGATTATTATTAGCAGAAAGGAAATTTCCCTCCCTGTCAGTTTTAGAGTAGCAGTTATTGGCCCAATGATATCCCCTTCGACAACGGGGCATAAACCAGGTCTCTTGAGACCCGTAGTACTATTTTGAGGGCACTCTCTACAGAAGTGTCCCTCCCTACCGCAGCTGAAACATGTTTTTCTCCCTCCCAGAGTAGGTCTTTCTTTCCCCACTTGGGGCCGAATGGCAGCAGCTAACACTTGGCCCTGGATGAAGTTCCCATCAATGTCCCTACAGATCCAGATATAGTCATTTAGACTTTTATTACGATAGGGGCGAAGGGCTTCCTTACAATACTTATTTGCATTTTCAAATGCCATCTGCTTGATGACCGGCATCGCAGGCCCAATGCCCCCAAATATTCTTTCTGCTACCTGACTGAGACGGTCTACGAAGTCTTGAAAAGGTTCAGAGGGTCCTTGAAGGACTTTGGACAGATGATCCCCTCCTTCCTTGGAAGGCAATGCTTTCCAAGCCCCTTGGGCCCTGCTGCCACTTGGGCATAGACTGCGATGTCATATTGCATTTGTTGCTGAATGGTGGCATATTGACCACTCCCGGTAAGCATCTCCACATTTCTCTGGGGCTGTCCGGCCTGTGCATTTCTTTGGGCTGTCTGGCTGCATCTTTCCTGAAACTCACCTCTCCAAATCAAATAATCTCCCCCGACAGAGCTGCTCTGCAAAGCTGCTGTCAATCGCCAGGTGTCAAATTAAGAGATGCAAAAGATTCCATTAAGGAAAGTGTAAAGGGAGCCTGTGCTCCATAATTTAAAGTTGCCTCTTTAAGTTGTCTTATATCCTTAAA